ATGGGTAAAGTCCACTTTTGGTCCTCCATGTTTAGGGGGTATCCAAACTGAGTCCCTATTATGTTTTGGTGCCCAATTTTAGTCCTTAAAACAAAAAAATGAGTCCCTATTATGTTTTGGTGCCCAATTTTAGTCCTTAAAACAAAACAAAAAAATGAGTCCCTATTATGTTTTGGTGCCCAATTTTAGTCCATAAAATAAAAAAATGTAGTCCCTTTACCTCAATTTCTGTGAATTAACGGTCCATTTTTGCTCAACTGTGATGTTCTTTATTTTTGTTAAAATTTGTTGATTAATATCAACTTTGACCAACGAAAAATAAAAGAAAATTTAAATGCTGAAAATATATTAATAAAAAATTAAACTAAAACAAGAAATTGCACTAAATTAAATTAAAAATTTTGCTCGTCTGATTTCTATTTCCCTAGCATTCGCGCTGCGGAGCAAGCCGGGAATCACAGCTAATGCTCTTGCACCCATTTCCGGGTCATGCCATCGAAAAAAATTGCACCTATCAACCCTCTGTTTTTTAACCATTTCTTATCATATTCCAATTGAAGTTCACGGAAAGTACTTACAGGATATAGAGGGCAACTCAAGAATCTTCTCCCGAGATTATCATCCTTCCAGCATGTAGTCAACTTTGCAACCAGCTCACATCTACAAAATACCACACCATTTCCATCCATTTGATTGGATTTAGTCCCTAGGCGGTTAGAGTTTTTTTTTTACGTTTCACTGCAGTTCACTATTTCTGTCTTTTATTTTACTTTTTCAGCATTTAAATTTTCTTTTATTTTTCTTTGGTCAAAGTTGACATTAGTCAACAAATTTTAAAAAAATAAAGAACATAACGGTCGAGCAAAAATGGACCGTTAATTCACATAAATTGAGGTAAAGGGACTACATTTTTTTTAAGGACTAAAATTGAGCATCAAAACATAATAGGGATTAAGTCTGGATACCCCTAAACATGGAGGACTAAAAGTGAATTTTTCCCAATTATAGGGACTACATTTTTTTGTTTTAAAGACTAAAATTGGGCACAAAAACATAATAGGGACTCAGTCTGGATACCCCCTAAACATGGAGGACCAAAAGTGGACCTTCCCCTTATTTTTTACTGTAAAAATAAGTTTTTTTCCAACGCCCCATATTGAACACAGGTGTCATGCTAGTTAATATATGATGTAAGAAACTTCAAAAATATCTTAGGCAACACAAATTATTAAGTTTTGGTCCATTTGCAACCCTAGGAGTTGGGACGCCATTGTGTACCATAGTTAATTCAAGTTACTTTTAGGTCCATATGAACCAAAGAACTTTGATTTAGCGAGCATATAAACACTGGATGATTACAAAGTTTACAACTCAACAGTAACATGACAGCAAGTAACAAGCGGACATAACAGTGATAAAGCCAGCTGTACTTATCAGTACAGAAACAAATCTAAATGACATCCCACAAAACCAAACTACATCCTCATTTTGTCGCCTGAGCAATTATGTTACTTATAGAACTTTCCTGCTCCTTGGCTGCTTCCACCAGAGAATCCTACAAACATATATAAAGATATTCAGTTAAGATATTCAGTTACAAGTGCACATATTGAGACTTTAGCTCCCGTCCGAAGACAAAAAGAAAGGTAAACTATTAAGACTAACGCATATTTGCATACCTGCGCAGCTATTAGACGTGCAACGGTTTTCTTGCTAGACTCTTGCAGTTCACCAGCAATTAGGATTTCATCCAATATGTAGTAAGCCTGCCATAGTGCCATCACATTCCCCAATTTCAAATCACAGAGCAAAAGACGTAGATTATATTCAACTAAATGCATAATAAGGGCTAAAAAGGAATTTGAAAACAGGCTTGTAATGCTTGCTCGGTTCGTTAGAAGTTCTAAGTTATGCCAAAAAAATCCATTGTACTGAGAACCTCGAAAACACCAGTCAGCTAGAAAATGAGCACCAGCACTTTTTCTATAACCAAAATGAAAAGTCAAACACTGCTTAAACAGAGATACACAAGTTCTGAAGTCACATGACTATCTGACAAGCAAAATAGGGAGTGGGAGTGGATTGTTGTCCTCCCCAAGTAATTGAACTTAAGTGTCAAATCAGAATAAAATGGTAGAAGATCAACACCACAAAGCTAGGTTAAAAGAAAACCACACATTTGACCAAAATATTTTGAGTTTAAGTACAGCCAGTAGCAGAGTAGGTTTTCTTTTTTTTCGGCATCAAAACTTGAATATATCTGATCGGAAAGGAGTATCTCATGATAAAAATTGTGGATTGGTTATAGTCGCAGGCCAAATCTAAGAACCCATATCAGATATGAAATTAGAGTGGCTGATCTCATGGATCTAGATAGCATTATTCATCGAAAGTAATTTTCTTACTATACATATAATATCATGATTTATAAATAAAGCCCCCTTAGTTAGAAGGCATCAGAAATCATTATTACAATATTAGTTCCTTTGGGCCAGGGGTTTAATTGCTGTTTGGTAAAAATAATTTCCCGGTAATTATTTTCTCGATCTATTAATAAAACACCTTTCCTTTCGCTGTTTCTTGGCTCTTTTCTCTAACAAACTGGTTCAACCTGCCGTGCACGGAATGACACGAATGTTATCCCGTGTTGAGACGTTGGAGAAGAACGGCCGTTGGAGAGGAACTCACCAACCTAAGGGAATAACATGGACAGCCAATTCAATTCACTCGAAACGGCAATATCCAGGATCACTAATTCACTGAATATACACAGCATGTCAACAGCCAGAAGCAACATCCTTTCAGAGACCAATATATGCAGCCACCACAAATCCGCACTTCACCGTGATGTTTTTGACAAGTTAAAATCCACTTCAAAACATATTAGTCTCCTGTGTGTTCTGATGGAACCAACTTAGTTCGACGGATGCCAAGGAAAACTTAAAAGTCGACTCTGCCTTCATCTGCGTGGAGGGACCAGCACTCCATTAGCTTCAATGGTTCCGACAGCAACTCCCCGCAAATATGAGATAGATTAGAAGGCAAACTCATTGATCAATTCATCAGTGAATTACCAGCAAGTCCAAGCAAATGCCTGGCTGCGTTACACCAAAGTGGATCTACGAAAGATTACACCAACAAATTTCGAGCAAGTGCAGCCCAAGTTGCTTGTCTAGACTCGAAACTCCAACTAAGGTTTTCCATACATGAACTCAAGAAAGAAAGACGGGTTCTCTTACGCCCGTATGATGTACTTGATCTAAAAACAGTCTCGGGTCTCTGGGCTTCTAACACAGGCCCATTATCAGTTTTGCTCTGGCCCACAAAATATAAGCATCACCTCCAAAGGCAGAATAAGAATCCTGCAGCCCCATACAAGCCTAAAGATCACATCAGACTACTTCAGGGCGGCACAAGCTCATCCACTTCACCAACACATAACAACACAACCGCACTGAAAAGTAGAGCTGCATGTCAATATTACTATCAAGAATACCTAGATATGTGCATGAAAAGTCATTGTTTCGGCTGCAAACAACCACAGTTTGATGCATGATTGCCCCCAAAGTCATTACGAGCTCTCATCGTAAGGGAAAACAAGACCAGTGCTACCATTTCCAACTTCTGATCAAACAAAGATGCAATATCTATAAGCAGATTATCGAGGGCCAACTCCATTTTCTAGACTTCATTGATGGCGATGGGTGGAATTGATGGACCACGAACAATAAAATTTCGGAGTCATGTATACATTCAGCCTATAACTATAATGGTGATCATGGTGGACAGGATAGTGGGACGAGCCACGACTTCATTTCATCCAAACATACCAACTAAATTCCAAAACTAATAGAGAAATAGTCCAGTTTGGGGTATGTTTGGGAGATGGCAGTCACGACTCGCAACTTCCAAAGGGAAATATAGCAATTTACATTCCAATTTGAATCAATCACCATGACTCTATATTTCTATATGTTTCTTCTTGGGAGTATTGGCATTATTCTGGGAGTAGCATCGCTGCAAACATTGGGTGATATCCAAGCAAATTGGGCAAGAATGATCATTGAATTTACTCAGGATAACGAATAGATTTGTCTAGTGGAGACAAATCTAAAAGAAAACTGTTGCGCAACATGATGTCAAGCGTTTAACCAAAGCCCCGATGGTAGAAGAAGCAAGTAACACACTGCAAGACATCCTAAATGTACGAAAGAAGCTCAGCAACAAGACTGAATCTCAGGTCTTGATTCAGTAGGAGAGATTGAGCTAGAATTAGAGGTTTGGACTCAATCAGAAATTTGACTAGCCAGATCCTCTCTTTGACATATTTCGTAAAGAGGGTTGTAGATAAGCTTTTTGGGTCCAAAAAGCTGCTTTTGAAAAAGCTCCAAATATGAGCTTCTTGTGAAAAGGGGATTGAATACTGTTTATATGAGGTGGTCTTGTATATATTTACTATTAATATTTAGCATTAACTATAGATAATTAATTTACAACAAATATCTTAATTAACTATTAGTAATATTTACTTAAAAAACGTAATATTTAGAGATTTACAACAGAAAATTGTAACAATCATTGTTGTTCAATTAATAATAATAGTTAACTATTCACAATAAGTTCATAAAGACCTATATTATAAATAAATAAACCTGATACAAATATTATTTAATAAATCCGCTATTCGCTATTAATTATTTTCCAAACACTAGTTAATGGAATCTGCTTAGTCAAAGCCACTAATGCAATCAGCTATCAACTATCCGCTAATTGGCAAACAATGCAATAGTATTATGACTACAACAAATAAAGACTCTTTAGAAGTGAAAGGCATCAGAATCATTATTCCAATATCCTGACTAATTTGGGAAAATTAATTTCCCTGTAGTTCATGTTTTCAATCTCTTACTAAAATCTATCTTTTTGCTGGTTCTTTTCTCTAACAATATCCATGTAAATATTTTTGGCAAACATACATCTAAATGTTTCAGATCCAAGTTAGGCCAACTGAGACGCTGAATCAATACATATCAGACAACGTTAGAATGAGCTGTAAAAACTGAACGAGATAGCTTTTAGTATTATTGACAGTAACATGTGACAAAGTTCCCTACCACATAGTAGAATCTTATCCAAACATTGGGCAACAGAAAATACATCAAAAAGAATATCTAATTATGCATCCCCTGCTTTCCCAGCTTTCCAAATATAACATGAGAGCATGCAAGTCAATATTCATGATGGCACAAGTCCAAGATAATATATCTTTCACTAAAAGGATTCAAGAAAATAAAATAATCTCTAAATAACAGTCCCAAATTATTTATGTCGTTCAATAATGAGATAAATGAATATGAAGCCAATGGAACTGTAACAGACAAATCCTAGCGATATTAAATAATGAATTAATGATCACTAAATAGACATGGGTATCTACGCATGAATTAAGTTTTCTTATCTCTACTGATTTAATCACTGGCTTTGATGATAAGAAAATTGTGAAGCATAATCAAGTAGGAGTGGGTTTTACTACAGTAATTATAGAACAAAGAGATCCATTATGTGGAATTTCTAAAGAAAGCTCTGAGGCATATTTAGCCCAAACCTGCAAAGAGCCGCAAGCAGCTGATGGACAGTTTACAATAAAGATCCTAAAAGGCACAAAAAGTTGAAAAAAAATATGCTATCTGGAGTATTCGAGACCAGCACAAGATCTAAATAAACTTTCAAAAAAATCAAAAGTGATTTCGGAGAAAAAGAACATACCTTATGGAAATTAAAGATCAAATCCAATTCACAAACCTAAACAAACCAGAAAAATATATCATTTAAATTGTGATTTAAGCAATTAAAAATATGAAGCAGTATGTACTCAGATTATCGAGAGCCTCACACTTCCAAAGTAGCGGTCTAGTATTTCAACAAAGTGGTGAATGATTTCAAGTATCTCCAGTTCATTGTCATCCCGGTCAATACACATGCAGAAATAAAGGCTGGCATATCTGCAGAATATTCAATGGGAGACCATATTAACTACACATGCAAGCAGGAAGAGGATCCATGTAGTAGAGAATATGTTGCAAGGTCTGAGAATATAAGAAACGAATATTACCTTTTGTAAACAACTTTGTATCCCCTCCACTCCACAAAATTGCACAGCTTGGGGCCTCGTGTGAGAATCATACCACTTAGCTCTCGGATAACCTTCACGAAGAACATTTATCACCACACAAGAATTCAGGAACAATGCAGCATTTCAATAGAATATAGGAGAAGGCCAAAGTATGGTCGATCAGAAAACATAATAGCTATAATATCGATTTATATAAAAATCATGAGTGCAATCAACAAAGAGAAGTCAGAGCATAAAATTAAGATACTCAGAGAGAAGAAATGGATTTGACAATAGAACACACACACACACACACACACACACCTTAAATGAGATTGGATAAAACTTTACCTTCGTTCTCTCCTTTTGAGAATAAGGTGAGTACCATTTTGTCAACCTGACTTTGCCTTGTCTGCTGATGAGAAGAACAAAGTGAATCTGAAACAAGATAAATGTAAACAAGGAGCACTATGATAAAAATAACACCCAATTTGGATATGTCAATACAAAAAAAAAGTCAGCATCACATATAGAACTCGGCAAAGGATCTTTCAATACAAAGAATTTCATGTCTGGCGGATATTATTCATTGAGAGAGAATATTGCGTGGATCTAATCGATTGGACAAACAACCAGGTCTGGCTATCGGCAGTTTCATACAGAAGCATATTGGATATGGAAACGGTTACCATTGCGGTGGTGAAGCTGGTGCCGGTTAGCTGATACTGTAAACGACCTCCGCAGAATGTAACCGTCGTCGCCGTCTTCTTCCTCGAGAACCTGTCTAACTTCTGGTTGATTGAAATCGAAATTATTATTATTATTATTATTATTTTTTAGAGTTAATTTTGAAAACAATGGGCCTTAATTATTAGTAGGATAGGATTTTAAATTTATATTAAAATAATTTTTAAAATAAAGTAATTAAAATTGATTTGATGTAAAAGTAGGAGAGAGATGATATGAAGTGATGATTAGTTAAATTTGGGTGAGTTTATAAACAGTGAATTAAAGTTGATGTAATAGGTAAAAATAATTGATTTGATATTATTTAATTATATTGATAACTAGTATATGTCTCGTGCAATGAGCACATATTTTAAATTTTTTTTAGACTTTATTTTAAAAATAATTATTTATATACAAATACAAACAATGAAAAACATATATTACTAAACTCTTATCTTTACACAATATTTTTTATTTAAGTAATATTATTATACCTTGCAGTTTTGATTCTTTTTTTTATTAATAAATTATCTAATCTATGATTGTTGTACAAATAGTAATGGAAAGAATACAAAAATTAAGTTTTGTTTTATTTTTTGTTTTTTTTTGTTTTTTTTTTACAAATCAAAATAATCCGATTTTTTTAAGCACTTTCAGATTCAATTTCAATGTATACCTCATACCAATTTATTCAATGGTCAACGTTAGTCAAATNCTTGTTTTTTTCATTGTAGTTTTTTTTCTTTTCTTTTTTTTTTATAATGAATTTAAAGATATTCTAAAATATAACAAAAATTAATTTTTTTTTATTACAATTAGGAATTTTCCTAAATATAAACTCTCAATCTATGGTGTTAATCAACGTTTAAGTCTAAAAAGTTAGGAATTTTTACCTCTTTTAATCAACGTTTAAGTCTAAAAAATAATAGAGTTATTATAAGTTTTTTTTGCTACATCTTTTAAAACATTAAATATGAGCATGTTAGGGTTAGCTTGTAAAATAATTAATATATTATCTCACTAAAACATTTATACTAATAAAAAATTAATTTTAGCATATAAATTTATCCCTTGATATAAGAGAAAGTAACAGTTTTACTTATTGTTGTTCACCATATAATATTTAATTATTATTTTATTATATAATAAAAAAGAAATATTGTTAAATAGCATAGTAGAATTGTTATAAAATTATATGATTTTTTATTTTTACAATATGGATTTAATATTTTTTTATGATTTGATAATATAAACAAATCTATACTTAACTTTGACAAATAAAACAAATAAATATTTTAGTAAGTATTTAATGTATATACTAAATAGGAATATATTTGGTATAATCAAATACCAAAGATAATCAAATAAGTTAAAGTGTACATTTTTATTTGGTATTTGATTTTTTTATTATTAAAATCTTTTTATTATACTTGTCTTTTTAAAATAAAATAAATAAATAAATCAATTAAATAAATAAAATATTATAATACCAAAATAGTAATGGCATTTAATACAGTTGACTTTTCTGGATAGTAAATGTAGTAAATAGAATCTCCTTTTATATAAGTATAGATTGTATAATACGAAAATGGTAATGCAATAAATGTTGTTGATTTTTCTTTATACTAAATCTGGTAAATGGTATACCTTTTAATATAAGTATAGATGGAAATAATCCAAAAAGTAAAGTTTTTGTTTTTTACAAATTAAAATAATCCAATTTTTTTAAGCACTTTCATATTTCAATTTCAATATATACTTTATACCAATTTATTCAATGGTCAACATTAGTCAAATTACTGATCAAAATAGAAGAGAAATCTAAATATTATTTTATATCATCTTTTAAAATCAATTTAGTTTATACCTATGAATTTATATGCGATTTCGTTAATGGAAAAAATATGTAATAAAAAAATATCCATATTTCTATATCAATGGACATATATTATCTATTTATTACTTTATTAGTTAAAAAATTAATAATGAAGGGACGTATATTTGTTGATTTGATTTTCAAAACTTATTATTTATTTATTTATCGATATTTTCATAATAATGGACATAAATCTTCACTCAAAAATTTGTTTTTTCTATACGTACGTTGTAGTTTTATGGAATATTAAATTATATTTTTGTTATTAGATATCCATGTATATCCATCATATAGGTTTATGGAAATGAAAAACCAAAATGTGTTTGTATATTATGTTGTCAATTCAATTCATACCTATGAATTTATATAGGTTGTTGTTGTATGGAAAAATAAATCGGTACTAAAAAAATATCTCTAAATTTCATAGCAATGGACATATTACTTTATCTCTTTATTAGTTAAAATTTCGACAATGAAGGAAGTATATAAGTTGATATGATTTTCAAAACTCATTTATTGTAATCAATTCGTATGTTCGTAATAATTGACATGTACCACACATTGCATGAAATTTGGTAATTAGTATGGTTAAATCACCATTTAAACATAATTTATTATATTTTTTCCAGTGATATGCTTTACACGCTATATATGATCCTAATATTTCTCAACATATTAACATAATTGTTGTATCCCGTCATTTATTATCAACAAAAGATTTATGTAAATCTATCGAAAAAGATTACAACACAATTCTTTTTGTTTTTTTTATTAAATTTTATTAACCTAACTAGTACGTAACCCGTGCGATGCACGAGATGTAAAATTTGGAAGAATAATATAACCTCACGTGCATTAGGATCGAAATTGAAATCATTAAAATACATAGGAACATTGTTGAATCATAAAAAGTTCGGTAACAATCATATATTGTTAAAAACATCCTTGTACACAACATTATGAGTTTGATTATTTGGTAACTCCTCATTATCACAAACTAATATTTTCAAAAGAGACAAATCCTAAAAATCAAACTAATATTTTTGGTGAACAAATTAATATTTTAAAATTTCTAGGATTTGTCTCTTTTTGGTGAACAAACTAATATTTTAGGATTGGTTATATGAATAAGGCTACCTATTTTTTGTGTTCTTTTCATTCATTTTCATTCAAACAATCTTGTATAATGAAATCCGAATCTTAAGCCGAAATACTTAACAAAAGAGTTTTTAAAAATTGAAAAGTGAAGACAATCAGTTCAGATTAATTAAAAGTCAAAGAATATCCGCTCCTTGAAATAAAGACGTGTGCTATCATTAACCAAATATCCGGTTATTGATATAGAGTGGTTACCAAAAAATAGAACGCGATAAGGACACTTCGTGGAAATATCAATGGGATAAGGTCATAACATATCGCTATACATTTTAACGATAAAAGCTCAGATGGAATGATTTATGATAATTATGTCATAATTAATGAATTAATTAAATGTGTGAAAAGGACAAAATTAATGAGAAGTGTGAAAATGACATAATTAATTTGAAGTGTGAAAATGACATAATTAATGAGAAGTGTGAAAAAGACATAAAAGTTACCGATTTTGGAAAGTAATTAATGCAAAACTGACTTTGACCATTAATTAAGTTACTAATTTATGGGAGCAAAAATTCTCTCACATGGGAGTATGAAATTCCTTCGGTGAAGCAGGGGAGATTGAAATTCGTAATGAGGATATTAACGCTAGTGAAGAGGAATGCAACATGAGCTTAGTCGGAAAAGTAGTTGGTAACCGGAGGGCTGGTATTCTTGGAATTAAACGCACACTGGGATATATTTGGAAGCTGCAAACGCCAATGGAGGTCAAAGAGGTTAGCTCCAATTTCTTCCAATTTATTTTCAACTCATTAGAGGATAAGAAGAAGGTAGCGGCTGGCCATAACTGGCTCTATGAAAACCAATATCTTATCCTTAAGGAGTGGTTTCCGGGGTTGAATAGTAAGCACAAATGCTTCGAGGAGATAAATATTTGGGTGCAAGTCAGTAATGTTCCCCTAAATTGGATGAGTATAGATGTGGGTCTTAAGATTGGCCAAATTTTTAATGCGGTGAAGAATGTTGTGATCTGCAAAGCTGAAGGGGAAGTTGGAAGTTTCATTAAACTACTAGTAGCGTTGAATCTAAATGAACCCATACCCAGGTGCACATCAGTTAAGCTCGGAGAACAAAAGGTGTTAGTAGCATTCAGATATGAACGGTTAGCGAATTTATGTTACTATTGTGGTATGATTGGTCACTTGGACCGAGGCTGTGAAAAGAAGATCAAAGATATTGAAAATCGAACGGTGGTTGAGGGACAATTTGGTGAGTGGCTGAAAGCAACAGAAACTGTACCTGGAGGAAGGAGCACTTACTCTGGCACTTCAGAAAGGAATGAGACACCACCAAAACATAACTCTAACCAGGGCTCATGGGAACCTGCCACTGTAAACCCAGATCTTGGTCAAACAACGGAGGCAAGAATTGGTGGTAGTTCATCCAAACAACAGCAGGTGGGTGAACATCAACATCTCCATAACCCTGAAGAACATGACATACCAAATCTTGCACTTGTCTGTAGAGATGAGGAGGGAAAGGACTTGCAGGAGACTCACTACATTGAGGCTATCACAATGGAGACTGATGTAGTAGGAGAGCCTGGTGAGGCCAGTAACCATGGAAAACAACAAGTAAATGAAGTGCCAATGCTCAGGGCCAAACCAGGGTCATCATGGAAAAGAAGAACATCTACTGATGGCAGGTTGCTGAGAGTGGAAGAGGTGCAGATGGAGGTTGTTAATACTGTTGGTAGTAAGAGGAACAGAGATTTAATAATTTATGAAGAGAACTCAGATCCAATTGAGGAAGCTCTTAAAGAATCCAATAAGAAAATTAACCATGGAGGAATGAAGGTGGAGAAGGCCAGCCTTGAATGGCCCCAAGGTGACCAATGAAGGCCACAGAAGGTTTCAGTTCAACAGTCACTGGCTTAAACTGGAGGGGATTCAAGAAGCTGTGGAAGCAGGTTGGCAGGGAATAGTGGAGGGTACTGCTATGTACCAGGTGCATCAAAAAGTGAAGAATACCAGAATGGCTTTGCTAGCATGGCACAAACCAATTCATAGAAACAGTGCTGCTACAATCAAAGATCTAACCACTAAAATGGAGGATATGAGAATGGAGGGCCCTGACAGAAATTGGAGAGATTGGTGTGCAATGAAGGCTGAGTTGGATAGTGCCCACCAAGAAGAAGAGAATTATTGGAGGTTGAAATCTAGAGCTTTGTGGTTGAAATCTGGTGACAGAAATACTCGGTACTTCCATGCTCACACTGCCCAAAGGAGGAAAAGAAACATTATCTCCAAGCTGAAAACCAGCTCTAGTCAAATCTGTGACAATCAACATTCAATGGCAGCTCACATTACTGGATTCTATTCTAATCTATTCACTTCTGATGGATCCAGAGGTGGTTCTGAACTGCTGCAACAAATTCCTTGTTCTATATCTGATGCCATGAACAATGATCTCATCAAACCGGTGGAGGAAGAAGAAGTTAAAGCTGCCCTGTTTGCAATGGCTTCTGAGAAAGCTCCTGGGGATGATGGTATGTCAGCTATCTTTTTCCAGCACTTTTGGCACATTTTGAAGTTTGATATTTGTAGAGCTATCAAAAGTTTTTTTATCACTGGTCATCTTCTGAAAAACTGGAAGCATACCATAATTACTCTGATTCCAAAGTGTCTTTATCCTGAGAATCTGACCAATTACAGACCAATTAGCCTGTGTGGAGTTCTCTATAAAATTGTGGCAAAGATGTTGGCTGAGAGGTTAAAACCTTGCTTAGATTCACGTATTAGTCAATCTCAAACTGCATTTGTGCCTGGAAGACATTTGATTGATAATGTTGTGATAGCACATGAGGTCTTCCATTTCTTGCATAGGCACATGTCTGGTTCAAATGTTTTTATGGCTGTGAAATTAGACATGGAGAAAGCTTATGATAGGGTGGAATGGGCGAGTACCAAAAAGACTATGTTGAAGATGGGGTTTCATGTTAAATTCGTGCAGTGGATTTACAGTTGCATTGCCAATCCTACTTTCTCTTTCAATATTAATGGCTCAGTGTGTGGATTTGTCACTTCCTCTAGGGGTATTAAACAGGGTGATCCACTATCACCCTATCTATTTATCCTGGTTTCTGAATTGCTTTCTTGTTATCTGCACCACAAAATAAATGTTGGCCAGTTCAGGGGGGTGAGGATTTCTCAAAATGGTCCTATGTTGTCTCACTTGCTATTTGCTGATGATGCCTTGGTCTTCTGTAAGGCTGATGAGGAGCACAGTATCCTGTTGCTGGAAATCTTGAAAAAATACCAGGAATTTACTGGCCAGAAAGTGAATCTGCACAAATCTTCTATGTTTTTGAGTAAGAATTGCTCTGATGGGTTGAAGCATAGGATTTGTTCTTTACTGCAGGGTGTGGTTGTGAAACGGTCTTCCAGATATCTGGGATTACCTTTAGGGATTGGGGCCTCTAAGATTGAAACTTTTCAATTTGTGGTTGAGGCTGTTAGAGATAGAATTGGTAGTTGGAAGAATAACTTCCTTTCTTTTGCTGGAAGGGAGATTCTTATCAAAGCAGTGTTAAATGCTCTTCCTGTTTTTGTGATGTCTTGTTTCCTATTACCTGTCAATGTGTGGAAGGAGGTGTGCAGGGTACTTGCAAAGTTTTGGTGGGACAAGGGAACTAACGAATCCAGAAGTATGCACTGGCTAGCCCGGGATAAGATGACTTTGCCTAAATGTGAGGGTGGGCTGGGTTTC